CCAGGGAATCAGCTCTCATCTCGAGACGATTTGGGGTACATGGAGCATTCCACGAGTTGCTGTGCTGAAGATGGTGTTCCTCTAGACTTGGGACAGTGTTCTCGGGGCACCTCTGGAGGTGCCTGAAGGGAGTCAAGCCACTGGTCGTGTTGAATGGGGAACGGGGGTTAGCTCTGGAGTCAATGCAGTGGAATCGGGCCTCACCTCGAGTTGATTTGTGGCACATGGAGCTACTTTGCGTTGCTGTGGTAACCTCAGGGTCCATCTAGACTTGTGACAGTGTTCTTGGGGACTCTCTGGAAATCCATTAAGGAATTCGAATATCCAGACTTGTTTGATGCGCATCACGGAATTGCTCTGCATGCACTGCAGGGGAATCGAGCCTCATCTCGCATCTATGGGGAAGTCTCATGGTTTTTCTCGAGTTGCGGCGGGGATATGCGGTATGTTCTCGAGTTAGGGCGGGGATGGCCCTTCAAATCACATGTTTATTCAGTGACATCAGGACTCCTGTCTAGTAACGTGGGACAACTCAGGAAGCTCTTCGAGGCTTGGCAGGGCAAAAGGGACGCTTCTCGAGGTGAGGAAGGGCTCCCAAGGACCCTTTCCAGTAGCCACAGGGATTTTTGGATTCCTATCAATATTCAAGAGGAGACAGGCATCATCACCTTTTGAAGCAGTGAACTCTGCGTGCCTCCCGAGGTGTCAACTTGATGTGAGGCATTCCGTCATAATGAGGCAGGGACCTAGGGCTATCTGTAAGGTCTCCGCAGGGTATTCAGACATCCCTTCATGTTGGGAGATGAAAGACGAGCCTGTATTCAAACCACTGCAAGGAAACCCGGCCTCCTTTCAAGTTAGGGCTTCTCGCTGTATATCCCATTTTAGGCAGCAAACTCGGGGTCCCTACCACATACCTATTGCTTAAAGAAGCCTCCCCTTGAGGTGCTTCTGGAAAGTTGGCATACGTCTTGAGCTTAAGCCAGGGAATCAGCTCTCATCTCGAGACCATTTGGGGTACATGGAGCATTCTTCGAGATGCTGTGCTGAAGTTGGTGTTCCTCTAGACTTGGGACAGTGTTCTCGGGGCATGTCTGGAGGTGCCTGAAGGAAGTCAAGCCACTGGTCGTGTTTAATGGGGAACGGGGAATAGCTCTGGAGTCAACGCAGGGGAATTGGGCCTCATCTCGAGTTGATTTGTGGCACATGGAGCTGCTTTGCGTTGTTGGGGTGACCTCAGGGTCCGTCTAGACTTGTGACAGTGTTCTTCGGGACTCTGTTGAGATCCATTAAGCAAGTTGAATCTCATGACTTGTTTGATGGGGATCACGGAATTGCTCTGCATGCACTGCAGGAGAATCGGACTCCACTCGCATCTAGGGGGAAGTCTCATGGTTTTTCTCGAGTTGCGGCGGGGAACTGGGGTATGTTCACGAGTTACGGTGGGGATGGCCCTTCAAACACGAGTTTATTCAGTGACGTCAGGACTCCTGTCTAGTAAGGAGGGACACGTAAGGGATCTCTTCGAGGCTTGGCAGGCCACAAGGCACGCTTCTCGAGGAAAGACAGGGCACCCAAGGACCCTTTCAAGTAGCCACAGGGATTTTGGGATTCCTATCAATGTTCAAGAATAGTCAGCCTTCGTCACCTTTTGAAGCAGTGAACTCCGCGTGCCTCTCGAGGTGTCAACGGGATGTGAGGCATTCCGTCAAAATGAGGCAGGGACCTAGGGCTTTCTCTAAGGTCTCCACAGGAGATTCAGACATCCCTTCATGTTGTGAGATGAAAGACGAACCTGTATTCAAGCCACTGCAAAAAAATCCAGCCTCCTTTCTAATTAGGGCTTCTCGCTGTTTATTCCACTTGAGGCAGCAAACTCGGGGTCCCTCCCACATACCTATTGCTGAGAGCAGCCTCCACTTGAGGTGCTTCCGGAAAGTTGGCATACGTCTTGAGCCTAAGCCAGGGAATCAGCTTTGATCTCGAGAAGATTTGAGGTACACGTAGCATTCCTCGAGTTGCTGTGCTGAGGTTGGTGTTCCTCGAGACTTGGGACAGTGTTCTCGGGGCATCTCTGGAGTTGCCTAAAGGAAGTCAAGCCACTGGTCTTTTTAATGAGGAACGGGGGAAGGCTCTGGGGTCAACGCAGGGGAATCGGGCCTCATCTCCATTTGATTTGGGGCACATGGAGTTGCTTTGCGTTGCAGGGGTGACCTCAGGGTAAGTCTACACTTGTGACAGTGTCTTGGGGACTGTCTCGAGATCCATTAAGCAAGTCGAAGCTCCTGAATTGATTAATGGGGATCACGGAATTGCTCTGCATGCACTGCAGGGGAATCGGGCCTCATCTCGCATCTAGGGGGAAGTCTCATGGTTTTTCTCGAGTTGCGGCGGGGATATGCGGTATGTTCTCGAGTTACGGCGGGGATGGCCTTTCAAAACACATGTTTATTCAGTGATGTCAGGACTGCTGTCTAGTAACGTGGGACACCTCAGGAATCTCTTTGAGGGTTTGCAGGGCACAAGGGACTCTTCTCGAAGTGAGGAAGTGCACCAAAGGACCTTTTCCAGTAGCCACAGGGATTTTGGGATTCCTATCAATATTCTAGAGAAGTCAGGCATCGTCACCTTTGGAAGCAGTGAACTCTGCGTGCCTCTCGAGGTGTCAACTTGATGTGAGGCATTCCGTCATAATGAGGCAGGGACCTAGGGCTTTCTCTAAGTTCTCCACAGGGGATTCAGACATACCTTCATGTTGGGAGATGAAAGACGAGCCTTATTCAAGCCACTTCAAGGAAACCCTGCCTCCTTTCAAGTTAGGGCTTCTCGCTGTATATCCCACTTGAGGCAGCAAACTCGGGGTCCCTACCACATACCTTTTGCTTAAAGAAGCCTCCCCTTGAGGTGCTTCTGGAAAGTTGGCATACGTCTTGAGGCTAAGCCAGGGAATCAGCTCTCATCTCGAGACGATTTGGGGTACATGGAGCATTCCACGAGTTGCTGTGCTGAAGATGGTGTTCCTCTAGACTTGGGACAGTGTTCTCGGGGCACCTCTGGAGGTGCCTGAAGGGAGTCAAGCCACTGGTCGTGTTGAATGGGGAACGGGGGTTAGCTCTGGAGTCAATGCAGTGGAATCGGGCCTCACCTCGAGTTGATTTGTGGCACATGGAGCTACTTTGCGTTGCTGTGGTAACCTCAGGGTCCATCTAGACTTGTGACAGTGTTCTTGGGGACTCTCTGGAAATCCATTAAGGAATTCGAATATCCAGACTTGTTTGATGCGCATCACGGAATTGCTCTGCATGCACTGCAGGGGAATCGAGCCTCATCTCGCATCTATGGGGAAGTCTCATGGTTTTTCTCGAGTTGCGGCGGGGATATGCGGTATGTTCTCGAGTTAGGGCGGGGATGGCCCTTCAAATCACATGTTTATTCAGTGACATCAGGACTCCTGTCTAGTAACGGGGGACAACTCAGGAAGCTCTTCGAGGCTTGGCAGGGCAAAAGGGACGCTTCTCGAGGTGAGGAAGGGCTCCCAAGGACCCTTTCCAGTAGCCACAGGGATTTTTGGATTCCTATCAATATTCAAGAGGAGACAGGCATCATCACCTTTTGAAGCAGTGAACTCTGCGTGCCTCCCGAGGTGTCAACTTGATGTGAGGCATTCCGTCATAATGAGGCAGGGACCTAGGGCTATCTGTAAGGTCTCCGCAGGGTATTCAGACATCCCTTCATGTTGGGAGATGAAAGACGAGCCTGTATTCAAGCCACTGCAAGGAAACCCGGCCTCCTTTCAAGTTAGGGCTTCTCGCTGTATATCCCATTTTAGGCAGCAAACTCGGGGTCCCTACCACATACCTATTGCTTAAAGAAGCCTCCCCTTGAGGTGCTTCTGGAAAGTTGGCATACGTCTTGAGCTTAAGCCAGGGAATCAGCTCTCATCTCGAGATCATTTGGGGTACATGGAGCATTCTTCGAGATGCTGTGCTGAAGTTGGTGTTCCTCTAGACTTGGGACGGTGTTCTCGGGGCATCTCTGGAGTTGCCTGAAGGAAGTCAAGCCACTGGTCGTGTTTAATGGGGAACCGCGGATGGCTCCGGAGTCAACGCAGGGGAATCGGGCCTCATCTCGAGTTGATTTGGGGCACATGGAGCTGCTTTGCATTGCAGGGGTGACCTCAGGGTCCGTCTAGACTTGTGACAGTGTTCTTGGGGACTGTCTCGAGATCCATTAAGCATTTCGAAGCTCCTGACTTGTTTGATGGGGATCACAGAATTGCTCTGCATGCCCTGCAGGGGAATCGGGTCTCATCTCACATCTAGGGTGAAGTCTCATGGTTTTTATCGAGTTGCGGCGGGGACCTGTGGTACGTTATCGAGTTACGCCGGGGATGGCTCTTCAAAACACATGATTATTCATTGACGTCAGGACTCCTGTCTAGTAACGAGGACACCTCAGGAATCTCTTCGAGGCTTGGCAGGCCACAAGGGACACTTTTCGAGGTGAGTCAGGGCACCCAAGGACCCTTTCCAGTAGCAACAGGGATTTTGGGATTCCTATCAATATTCAAGAAGAGTCAGGTATCATTACCTTTTGAAGAAGTGAACTCCGCATGCCTGTCGAAGTGTCAGTGTGATGTGAGGCATTCGGTCAAAATGAGGCAGGTAGCTAGGGCTTTCTCTAAAGACTCCACAGGGGATTCAGACATCCCTTCATGTTGGGAGATGAAAGACGAGCCTGTATTCAAGCCACTGCAAGGAAACCCGGCCTCCTTTCAAGTTAGGGCTTCTCGCTGTATATTCCACTTGAGGCAGCAAACTCGGGGTCCCTCCCACATACCTATTGCTGAGAGACTCCTCCCCTTGAGATGCTTCTAGAAAGTTGACATACGACTTGAGACTATTCCAGGGAATCAGCTCTCATCTCGAGACGATTTGTGGTACACGGAGCATTCCCCGAGTTGCTCTGCTGAAGTTGGTGTTTTTCTATACTTGGGACAGTATTCTCGGGGCATCTCTCGAGTTGCCTGAAGGAAGTCAAGCCACTGGACATGTTTAATGGGAAACGGGGGATGGCTCTGGAGTCCATGCAGGGGAACCGGGCCTTATCTCGAGTTGATTTGGGGCACATGGAGCTGTTTTGCGTTGCAGGGGTGACCTCAGTGTTCGTCTAGACTTGTGACAGTGTGCTTGGGGACTGTCTCGAGATCCATTAAGCATTTCAAAGCTCCTGACTTGTTTGATGGGGATCACAGAATTGTTCTACATGCTCTCCAGAGGAATCGGGCCACATCTCTCATTTAGGGGGAAGTCTCATTGTTTTTCTCGAGTTGCCGCGGGGACCTGTGGTACGTTATCGAGTTATGCCGTGGATGGCCCTTCAAAACACGTGTTTATTCAGTGATGTCAGTACTCCTGTCTAGTAACGAGGGACACTTCAGGAATCTCTTCGAGGCTTGGCAGGGCACAAGGGACCCTTCTTGAGGTGAGGCAGGGCACCCAAGGACCCTTTCAAGAAGCCACAGGGATTTTGGGATTCCTATCAATGTTCAAGAGGAGTCAGGCATCGTCACCTTTTGAAGCAGTGAACTCCGCGTGCCTCTCGAGGTGTCAACGAGATGTGAGGCATTCCGTCAAAATGAGGCAGGGAACTAGGGCTTTCTCTAAGGACTCCACAGGGGATTCAGACATTCCTTCATGTTGGGAGATGAAAGACGAGCCTGATTTCAAGCGACTGCAAGGAAACCCGGCCTCCTTTCAAGTTAGGGCTTCTCGATGTATATTCCACTTGAGGCAGCAAACTCGGGGTCCCTCCCACATACCTATTGCTGAGAGAAGCCTCCCCTTGAGGTGCTTCTGGAAAGTTGGCATACGTCTTGGGCCTGTTCCAGGGAATCAACTCTCATCTAGAGTTGATTTGGGGTACATGGAGCATTCCTCGAGTTGCTCTGCTAAAGTTGGTGTTCCTCTAGACTTGGGAGAGTGTAGCCTTGGCATATCTGGAGTTTCCTGAAGGAAGTAAAGCCACTGGTCGTGTTTAATGGGGAACGGGGGATGGCTCTGGATTCAATGCAGGGGAATCGGGCCTCATCTCGAGTTGATTTGGGGCACATGGAACTGCTTTGCATTGCTGGGGTGACCTCAGGGTCCGTCTAGACTTGTGACAGTGTTCTTGGATACTGTCTCGAGATACATTAAGCATGTCGAAGCTCCTGACTTGTTTCATGGGGATCACGGAATTGCTCTGCAAGCCCTGCAGGGGAATCGGGCCTCATCTCGCATCTAGGGGGAAGTCTCAGGGTTTTCTCGAGTTGCGGCGGGGATATGCGGTATGGTCTCGAGTTAGGGAGGGGATGGGCCTTCAAAACGCATGTTTATTCAGTGACGTCAGGACTCCTGTCTAGTAACGAGGGACACCTCAGGAATCTCTTCGAGGCTTGGCAGGCCACAAGGGACACTTTTTGAAGTGAGTCAGGGCACCCAAGGACCCTTTCAAGTAGCCACAGGGATTTTGGGATTCCTATCAATATTCAAGAGGAGTCAGGCATCGTCACCTTTTGAGGCAGTGAACTCCGCGTGCCTCTCGATGTGTCAATGGGATGTGAGGCATTCCGTCAAAATGAGGCAGGGACCTAGGGCTTTCTCTAAGGACTCCACAGGGGATTCAGACATCCTTTCATGTTGTGAGATGAAAGACGAACCTGCATTCAAGCCACTGCAAAAAAATCCAGCCTCCTTTCAAGTTAGGGTTTCTCGCTGTATATTCCACTTGAGGCAGCAAACTCGGTGTCCCTCCCACATACCTATTGCTGAGAGAAGCATCCACTTGAGGTGCTTCTGGAAAGTTGGCATACGTCTTGAGCCTAAGCCAGGGAATCAGCTCTCATCTCGAGAGGATTGAGTTACACAGAGCATTCCTCGAGTTTCTGTGCTGAAGTTGGGCTTCCTCGCGGCTTGGGACAGTGTTCTCGGGGCATCTCTGGAGTTTCCTGAAGGTAGTCAAGCCACTGGTCGTGTTTAATGGGGAACGGCAGATGGCTCTGGAGTCAATGCAGGGGAATCGGGCCTCATCTCGAGTTGATTTGGGGCACATGGAGCTGCTTTGCGTTGCTGGGGTAAACTCAGGGTCCGTCTAGACTTGTGACAGTGTTCTTGGGGACTGTCTGGAGATGCATTAAGCAAGTCGAATCTCCTGACTTGTTTGATGGGGATCACGGAATTGCTCCGCATGCACTGCAGGGGAATCGGGCCTCATCTCGCATCTAGGGGGAAGTCTCATGGTTTTTCTCGAGTTGCGGCGGGGACCTGGGGTATGTTCTCGAGTTACGATTGGGGATGGCCCTTCAAAAGACGTGTTTATTCAGTGACTTCAGGACTCCTGTCTAGTAACGAGGGACACCTCAGGAATCTCTTCGAGACTTGGCAGGGCACAAGGGACGCTTCTCGAGGTGAGGCAGGGCACCCAAGGACCCTTTCCAGTAGCCACAGGGATTTTGGGATTCCTATCAATATTCAAGAGGAGTCAGGCATCGTCACCTTTTGAAGCAGTGAACTCCGCGTGCCTCTCGAGGTGTCAACAGGATGTGAGGCATTCCGTCAAAATGAGGCAGGAAACTATGGCTTTCTCTAAGGTCTCCATAGGGGATTCAGACATCCCTTTATGTTGTGAGATGAAAGACGAGCCTGTATTCAAGCCACTGCAAGGAAACCCTGGTTCCTTTCAAGTTAGGGCTTCTCGCTGTATATTCCACTTGAGGCAGCAAACTCAGGGTCCCTCCCACATACCTTTTTCTGAGAGAAGCCTCCCCTTGAGGTGCTTCTGGATAGTTGGCATACGTCTTGAGCCTGTTCCAGGGAATCAGCTCTCATCTAGAGACGATTTGGTGTACATGGAGCATTCCTCGTGTTGCTCTGCTAAATTTGGTGTTCCTCTAGACTTGGGATAGTGTTCTCGGGGCATCTCTGGAGTTTCCTGAAGGAAGTAAAGCCACTGATCGTGTTTAATGGGGAATGGCAGATGGCTTTGGAGTCAATGCAGGGGAATCGGGCCTCATCTCCAGTTGATTTGGGGCACATGGAACTGCTTTGCATTTCCGGGGTGACCTCAGGGTCCGTCTAGACTTGCGACAGTGTTCTTGGGGACTGTCTCGAGATCCATTAAGCATGTCGAAGCTCCTGACTTGTTTCATGGGGATCACGGAATTGCTCTGCAAGCCCTGCAGGGGAATCGGGCCTCATCTCAAATCTAGGGGGAAGTCTCAGGGTTTTCTCGAGTTGCGGCGGGGATATGCGTTATGTTCTCGAGTTAGGGCGGGGATGGGCCTTCAAAACACATGTTTATTCAGTGACGTCAGGACTCCTGTCTAGTAACGAGGGACAACTCAGGAATCTCTTCGAGGCTTGGCAGACCACAAGGGACACTTTTTGAAGTGAGTCAGGGCACCCAAGGACCCTTTCAAGTAGCCACAGGGATTTTGGGATTCCTATCAATATTCAAGAGGAGTCAGGCATCGTCACCTTTTGAAGCAGTGAACTCCGCCTGCCTCTCGATGTGTCAACGGGTTGTGAGGCATTCCGTCAAAATGAGGCAGGAAACTAGGGCTTTCTCTAAGGTCTCCACAGGGGATTCAGACATCCCTTTATGTTGTGAGATGAAAGACGAGCCTGTATTCAAGCCACTGCAAGGAAACCCGGCCTCCTTTCAAGTTAGGGCTTCTCGCTGTATATTCCACTTGAGGCAGCAAACTCGGGGTCCCTCCCACATACCTATTGCTGAGAGACGCCTCCCCCTGAGGTGCTTCTAGAAAGTTGACATACGAATTGAGTCTATTCCAGGGAATCAGCTCTCATCTCGAGACGATTTGGGGTACACGGAGCTTTCCCCGAGTTGCTTTGCTGTGGTTGGTGTTCTTCTAGACTTGGGACAGTGTTCTCGGGGCATCTCTGGAGTTGCTTGAATGAAGTCAAGCCACTGGTCGTGTTGAATGGGGAAAGGCAGATGGCTCTGGAGTCCATGCAGGGGAATCGGGCCTCATCTCGAGTTGATTTGGGGCACATGGAACTGCTTTGCATTGCTGGGGTGACCTCAGGGTCCGTCTAGACTTGTGACAGTGTTCTTGGGGACTGTCTCGAGATCCATTAATCATGTCGAAGCTCCTGACTTGTTTGATGGGGATCACGGAATTGCTCTGCATGCCCTGCAGGGGAATCGGGCCTCATCTCGCATCTAGGGGGAAGTCTCATGGTTTTTATCGAGTTGCGGCGGGGACCTGTGGTACGTTATCGAGTTACGCCGGGGATGGCTCTTCAAAACACATGTTTATTCATTGACGTCACGACTCCTGTCTAGTAACGAGGACACCTCAGGAATCTCTTCGAGGCTTGGCAGGCCACAAGGGACACTTTTCGAGGTGAGTCAGGGCACCCAAGGACCCTTTCCAGTAGCAACAGGGATTTTGGGTTTCCTATCAATATTCAAGAGGAGTCAGGCATCGTCACCTTTTGAAGCAGTGAACTCCGCGTGCCTCTCGAGGTGTCAACAGGATGTGAGGCATTCCGTCAAAATGAGGCAGGAAACTACGGCTTTCTCTAAGGTCTCCATAGGGATTCAGACATCCCTTTATGTTGTGAGATGAAAGACGAGCCTGTATTCAAGCCACTGCAAGGAAACCCGGCCTCCTTTCAAGTTAGGGCTTCTCGCTGTATATTCCACTTGAGGCAGCAAACTCGGGTTCCCTCCCACATACCTATTGCTGAGAGACTCCTCCCCTTGAGATGCTTCTAGAAAGTTGACATACGACTTGAGACTATTCCAGGGAATCAGCTCTCATCTCGAGACGATTTGTGGTACACGGAGCATTCCCCGAGTTGCTCTGCTGAGGTTGGTGTTTTTCTATACTTGGGACAGTATTCTCGGGGCATCTCTCGAGTTGCCTGAAGGAAGTCAAGCCACTGGACGTGTTTAATGGGGAACGGGGGATGGCTCTGGAGTCCATGCAGGGGAACCTGGCCTTATCTCGAGTTGATTTGGGGCACATGGAGCTGTTTTGCGTTGCTGGGGTGACCTCAGTGTTCGTCTAGACTTGTGACAGTGTGCTTGGGGACTGTCTCGAGATCCATTAAGCATTTGAAAGCTCCTGACTTGTTTGATGGGGATCACAGAATTGTTCTACAT